CCCACCTATTGAGAATGGCATCACCCACTCAACCCCAAAAACTGAGAAGATCAAACTTTATAGCTTGCTAGCGACAAGGCAATGAATAAAAAGGGTGATTGGCATTCTCCCTGCCTCACGTATATCAATATAACTAATTAATTTCTTCTATATATCTTCATAGTTTGGCAAAAACAACGTTGTTCCATGCATTATGTTAACAAAATAAAAATAGAAATCAATTGTAAATTGAATCGTACGATTCAATCAATTTTTTATTCAACAACATGATTCAAATCATTTTTGTTGAAACTCGCATCGAATCGTATGAATCGAATCGTGAATTGTAAGATTCTAATGACCATGACCACGATATCACCTCCACATCACAAATCATGGCAAAAAGAGCAAACTGAAAACACTCCCGCCTTATATACCATAAAATGCTAATACCCCAGCGAATTACGTATTGATACACACGTTCCGAAACATGGTACATTTCCATTTCAAAACGGTAAATTTAGTGATTCAAAGCAATCTCAAAAGTTTTTTTCAATAAATATCCTTAAATGTTACCCTAGGAGGAAAAACAACAAATATAATGAATTAAAATCTAAGGTGAGTTAAGTTTTGACGAGACAAAAAATCAAAAAATGGGTCATAATACTCATAGAAAATATTACATTTTATTGGATGTCTAATAGTTTAAAAAAAAAAAAACCCTTAAATTCTTAAGTATAATATATACAAGTCTACCCCTATCATACCACATTTTAGATCATATGGCGTACCGCGTTTCCGTTCCCGTTTCATGTACCGGAACAACCCATGTTCCAGGTAACATAACTCCTACCTAGAAAGTCTCCAAGACATGCATTTTTTCTCTCCTCAAAAAATCAAATAATCATCAAATATAATGAACTAAAATCTAAGGTGAGTTAAGTTTTGACGAGACAAAAAATCAAAAAATGGGTCATAATACTCATAGAAAATATTACATTTTATTGGATGTCTAATAGTTTAAAAAAAAAAAAAAAAAACCCTTAAATTCTTAAGTATAATATATACAAGTCTACCCCTATCATACCACATTTTAGATCATATGGCGTACCGCGTTTCCGTTCCCGTTTCATGTACCAGAACAACCCATGTTCCAGGTAACATAACTCCTGCCTAGAAAGTCTCCAAGACATGCATTTTTTCTCTCCTCAAAAAATCAAATAATCATGAAGGTCAAAATAAAGCCTTCACAAACTAGATTTTCCAAACTTCCAAGGCCCTTCGAAAACATGTATTTTCAAAACCTTAGTTGCAAGAATCGTGCAACCAGGTGACGAATCTTCGTACGAAACACGATTCCGCATTTCTTAGAAAGAAACATGTAAGAATCGTGTTTCTATAGAGAGAGAAACACGATCCTGTCCAAGATGGGATCGTTGGTGGCTATGAACAAAAACCCTAGCCTGTTGGTCGATAAAGAGAGAGGAAAAAGAAGGTGAAGAAGAACCTGAACATATTGAAGCTCGAGAATGTGAAGTTGAAGCCCTAGATCGAGGTATGTCCTTTGTTTTGTTTTTCTTCTTCTTCTTCTTTCATCACTTCGAAGGTCCTCTCTCTCTCTTTCTCTGGGTGATTTTTGTCTCTCTGTCGCAATTTGTCTCTCTGGCAGATCGTCTCTCTCTCTCTCTCTCTCTCTCTCTCTCTCTCTTAGATCGTCTCTCTGTCTTTGTTTTTCGTCGTCTCCCCCTCTGCTTTTCCCTCTCTGTTCTTGCTGATCGTCTCCTCTGCCTTCGTCTTTGCCTTCTCTCTCTCTCTTTCTCTCTCTCTCACTCGCATTCTCTCTCTCTCTCGCCTTCTCACGATATATATTAATAAAAAAACACAAATACATATATGTAAAATTAAAAAAAAAATTAACAATAACACATTATTTAAAAAATATAATAAATAAATAAAATAATTAATGTGCATTAAAATAAAAATATTTATAAAAAAAAATTCTCATGTGTATTAAAATATATATATATATATATTACCGCTCCCTGAGGCACTCCCAACCTAAGAAATTTCTATCGGCTCACGCTTCCTTGCTCCCGCTCCCGCTCCCACTCCCGCTCCCGCCCCAGCTCCCGCTTCGTGCAACTAAATTCAAACATTGTTTGAATACTTTGCACTCCCTCAAAGTTTTGTCATCCAAACCCATCCAAATGCAATATAACTGCCAGCCAACAAAAAACAGTGTTTGTAACTATGATGAAGCTTTTTATTAGCATGGAGAGGAATGACATGAAAAATTTAGCCTCACCAGCTTGGCTATTACATTGCTTCAGTCACTTCACAATGCATAATATATAGGCAACATAGAAAGAGCTAAAACAACTTGTAGCTCACAAGCCAAGTTAAGAACAATGGAAGAGATAAAATTCAAGAACCAGCAAAGAAGGATAGCAATAAATGGGTTTGCTTCTCTGCTCATATCCTAGTCTTGCAAAAAAACACACAACCCAAGAGGACAGAATCATGCGAATCAACAAAAGAGTAAGTTTATCAACAAATAGCAATACAACTAACTAAAGGAACACAAAATATTCGAGGGAAATTTACGTGTTAGTCCTAATAGGGAGACTTATTATAAGTCCTATGATAATTAATGGCATTTTTTATCAAACACTATTAAAAAAAACATCATTAATTGTTAATTTTCAGCGATAGTTTGAAAATTTTGTACAAAAAATGTCATTAGTTTTCAACTTTTAGCGACAGTTTAAAACATTCATCACAGAAAAATATCACTAATTATAAGTTTTAGCAATAATTTATCAAAACGTTGACAAAAAAAAGTCAATAACTATCAATTTTTAGCGACATATGTAAAAAATCACAACAAATGGTAGTTTATCCTATATTTGATAGATAAGTCAAGTTACTTGCTAATGTCAACCCATGAACTGCATGGGGAATTTCTTCAAACAATGGTGGAAGGCTTCTAAACTCTGCCAGCAAGACCTGCAACATAAAAGAAGATGACTCACGCGATACTGCACCCAATCGGAAATCATCTTTGATCAAATATAGAGATTAGGAGGTTCCACTCCCTCTAATTCAATCGATTCAGTTGAGTATTAGGCATTGTATACAGACAACTACGTCTTATCTCTGATACATCCCATAATTTCTTTAGCCATGGTATTGAAATACTAGTAACTGTTTTGAAAAAAATTTCACTGTCCAAATCATGTACAAAAGATTTGAACAATTATGCCCAATGCAGACGAGTCCGGATCCTCTCCTTGAGGAGGGTCCTTCATTCCGTGCTTGCAACGGCTCAGATGAGCCGTTGGTCATCCAACGGCTGAGATTATAAAAAAAAAGAAAAAAAAAATCAGAAATGAATTTTTTTCAGTTCCCGCCCAAACAAAACAACAACACAGCGAAGGGAGGGATTAACTTTCACTCTCACACAGCACTCTCACTCTCACACAGCACTCTCCTCCGTCGAACCCATCCTCACCGACGGCAAACTCCATCCTCACCGACGGCGAACTCCTCAGAACCTAAGACGTCTTCTGTCGCCAAAGCTTTCGGCTGATGCTCTTTACAAATTACAGTCGACACTAAGGTCAGAAATCGAGTTTTCATTTTGAGTTTGAAATTGTTTCCATTTGATCATTTTTCATAACCCACAAACAAATCACTAATTTCAGTTTTGAAGACAATGTTAATTTCAGTTTTGGTGGACTGAATAAGTTGTTTATTAATAAGTTGTTTACCAAACATTGTCTTGCTTTTACTACATACATACAGACAGTTTTCTGTTCTGATTGTCTGCATGAAGTTAAGTTGATCTGGGTTGGATGATTATTGTTACATTTATATATTGGCTGAATAAGTCACTGTGGTTTGGTGGACTCTGATTTTTTTGCTGCTGAAAAAGGGGTTGTATGTTGTTTGTTTCCTCTAAGCTGTTCCTTATACAAAATTATGTAGTTAGTGTGTTTTACCTCTTTTGTTGCGCATCTGATTGTTATTGTGATGTTTTGTTAAAACGATCGTAAATTATCTCAGTTTTGCCATAACAGGGTAATGTTATGGGCCTTATCACAGTATGTCTCCTGGTTTTTGTAGACATGGCAGTCTCATGGGTCATGTAATTATTAACTGGTGTGTAGATGTGTTATATTGAATCACCAAGGATCTTCTAGAGTGTTTTTTTCCTAAAGTTTCCTAAAGTGGTGCATTGTGTGGTTGAGATTTAATGTTGAAAAATTGATGTGACTTGTCATTAAATCTCAACCACACAATGCACTCTGAATTAATTAAATGAAGCAATATCTATCTATATTAATTGAATCTGGTTTTTAATAATCCAATTTCCTTAATTCCAGTAATTTTCCTTATATGACATATGGTCCTATCTATAAACCAGATAAATTTTATCTATGCACATTTCAATTCATTTTTATAGCACTACAACCTAAGCAACCCTGCAATCTTATTAAGAAACTCAACTATCATTAACTTAAGATTTTATTTATATGGGTTTTCAGTTGCATTTTCATATCGATATGGAACCTGAGAATGACTGTGATTGGAAGCCAAAACAGGGAATGATATTTGATTCTGAACAATGTGCGTATGATTTTTATAATACATATGGAGGAAGAATGGGGTTTAGCATAAGAAGAGATTATTGTAGGAAGGACAAGTTCACTAATCAACTTATTCATAGACTTTTGGTTTGTAACAAGGAGGGATTTTGAAAGGTTGACAAGCGAGACCCATTGTCAAAAAACTCTAGAGCTGAAACTAGGACTGGTTATGAGGCTCGACTTTATATTAAATTACATGAGGGTACTGGAAAATATGTTGTGACTGATTTCAAAGAAAAACACAACCATGATCTTGTATCACCCGAGTATGCCCACATGTTGCCATCACAAAGAAAGATATCCACTACCCAAGCAATTCAGTTAGATTTAGCGGCATAATCTGGTCTTCGTTTAGGCCAATCTTTTGAACTCATGGGTAGGGAAGCTGGTGGAAGGCAATGTCTTGGTTTTACGAAATTAGATTCTAAAAATTATTTGAGAACCAAAAGACAACAAAGTTTAGCATATGGAGAAGTAGGCAATGTGTTGCAATACTTTAAAGAAAAATCTTTGCAGAATCCTTCATTCTTCTATGCTGTTCAATTAGATAATGAGAAGCAAATAACCAATATGTTTTGGGCCGATGCACAAATGATCATGGATTATGCCCAATTTGGTGATGTTGTCACTTTTGATACTACTTACAAGTTAAACAAAGAACATAGACCCTTCGCGTCTTTTGTGGGATTCAACCATCATAGGGAAACAGTTATATTTGGTGCAGCCTTGTTGTATGATGAGACCGCCGAATCGTTTGTATGGTTGTTTCAAAATTTTCTAGAGGCTATGTCAGGAAAGGCACCAAAAACGTTGTTCATTGATCAAGATGCTGCAATGGCTAAAGCCATACCCATCGTTATGCCGGACACAAGTCACCGTTTGTGTACTTGGCATTTGATGCAAAATGCATTAAAACATGTTAACTGTTTGTTCCAAGATAAGGGGGTGAAGGGTGTACTAAATAAATTCTTCTTTCACATTGAAGATGCAAATCAATGGAAGTTGGAGTGGGCGGAAATGCTTGATAAATATGATGCGCATGAAAACCATTGGTTGAAATTGACTTTTGCGGTGAAAGAAAAATGGGGCTGGCCTTACGTTAGATCAACATGGGCTGCGGGAATGAGTACCACGCAACTTTGTGAATCTTTTAATGCGTTTTTGAAGGATTACATTCGTTCTGATTTTAACTTAAATGAATTCTTCATGCATTTCGAAAGGGTACTTTACGAGAAGCGATAGAAGGAGTTAGAAGCAGGATATGCTTTGTGCCAAAGGTTGCCAAAGGTGAAAGCAACAATAAGAATGTTAATTCAAATGGGTAATGTCTACACAAAAAAGATATTTGAAGAATTTCAAAATGAGTACTTTCGATCAATTGAATCGGACATAGAAACAATTGAATATGGCGAGGCTAGTACCATTTACACAGTTGTTGATGTTGGTAACAAACATGCACGGAAAGTGAAGATGGAGAGGGATGGGTCATTGGGTTGTAATTGTACAAAGTTTGAAAGGGAAGGAATCTTGTGCTGTCACTCATTGAAGGTTATTAGAGACATATTGAAGATGAAAGAGGTTCCTCCACAATACATTCTAAAGAGGTGGACCAAACAAGCAAGAGCCAAAACTGTGAAGGACATTACGGGGAATGACATTCAAGTAGATGTGAAATTCCAACAAGCCTCGTGGTATAAGACATTGATGACCGCATTTAGAGCACTATTAAGTAGAGCTGCCGAAACCGAAAAAACTTATGATTTTTGTATTTTACACCTTGCTACATTAGGTGCAAATGTTGAAGGCAAGTTAAGTGCTCATTTTGGTGTTGGAAATGAAGTAGGTAATGATGATGACAACCAAAGCTTTGAAGTGGATTGCGAAGATGTGAATCATGTTGTGCAACCAAAAGGATTGAAGAAAAAGGTGGCAACTAGTAAGGGCCAAAGGAGGGTCAAAGGTGGATTCGAAGCGGCGTTGGTAGCGAACTCCAAAAAAAAATCCCGTGCTAACAGCTTGGCTTCGTCACAATCTATTGCAAGTCCAACAGTTGCACATTCTCCATTATCTGTTGGAGGAGATATCTATGTTCGTCAACATGTTCCTCCTCTTCAACCTCTTCCTCCCCTTCATCCTCTTCCTCCATCTTTGCCCATGGGTGGTAATTCTATTCCTCCGCCATTGATGTATCCCACATATCATGTAAGTCTTACTTTAACATTGTATTTTTTTGTGTGGATATAATATGTGACTCAAACCATGATTGCGAAGCCTAATATATGACATTGTTGTAGGCGAACAATTTGCGGGACATGTATGTAGTGCCAAATTATTTGCCAAATTCAATGTCTCACCTGCATTCTAGTGGATCAACATTCCAGTCACTACTTCAAGGTTCATGTGAATATGACATTGGGTTTCGATATTCTCAAGAATCAACTACTCCAATGTGTAGTTAGGTTCGTCTTTGCTATCTTTTTAATTTTTATTATATTTATAGTTGTTGAAAATTCCGTCATACCATGTATTCACTTGTTGAGAAATTTGAACATTTTCCCTTTTAGGCTATGGACAAGCAGAAACAGAGGCAAACTGATGCTGAAATTGGGCTGAACAGTGAAGTCATAGCCTCTAAAATTGATGGTTATTCTGTCGCTGCTAGAAAGTGATGGTTATTCTATTGCTGCTGGAAAGTCATACATTAGTCTTTTTAATGGATTGTATGTGTTAATGGGTTGAAGCAATGTAACATTTTTGATGGACCAATGTTTTAATTTAACTTGTTATGGATTGTATGTGTTAAACTGTTATGGTGTACATTTGATCTGTTTTTTTTTATGTGGTACGGACATGATTCTGTTTTCGTACATTTGATCCTTATTTGTGGACATGTTCTGTTTTTGGACATGATCTGGTTTTGGACATGATCTGTTTTTGTGAAGTGTGAAATGTGCTGTAATGGTTACGTGAAGTGTGAAGTGTGCTACTGATATGCACAGGTCTGGTTGTGCAATTATTTTGCTGGTATGCACAGGTCTTGTTCTACAATTATTCTGCTGGTATGCACAGGTATTATGGTTCTGCATGCTTCTGGTTCTGTGAAGTTTAAGGGAAAAAAAATGAACCATTGCAGAATTTTTGATCTGGTATGCAGTGGAGGAGCAAAATTTTGGTTCTGCATGCTTCTGGTTCTGCTCTGGTGTTTTGATTACATAGAGAACTTGGTGACTTGTGAGTGAATGTTTAGGGAGATAGAGAGTGAGAAATGAGGAATAAGTGCAGATGTAAGTTCTGGTTGTATGTACCCTCTTCATCATTGAGCATCAGATTTCCAGAAAGCAAGTCATTGTGAGCAAACACCTGCACTTAAAATAATGACCATTGCAGAATTTTTGATCCATAACAGAGGCAAAACCAAATAATATAAGTGCAGGATTTTTTATCCATAACAGAGGAAAAACCAAGTCATTGGCTGTATGGTTCTGAATGGTTCTGAACGTATGGTTGATGTATGCTGGGTGTCTTTTTTTTGGTTGTTCTCTGGTTCCTCTGCTCTCAAAGGTTTTTGGGGCTGTTTAATCTGGTTCTGCATGCTTCTAGTTCTGCATGCTTCAGGGTTGGTGATGTACACCAGTTTTTCACAGCAATTATGCTGGTTCTGATCTGTACACCAGTTATGCTGGTTCTAATCTGTATTCATTGTTTCTGGTATGCTGGACACTTAGAGCACTAGTAGTGTGTGAGGTGTGAAGTGTGAAGGATGTACAGAAATGCTGGTATGGTGTGAAGTGTGTGAGGTGTAAAGTGTGAATCATGGTTTCATATGGTTCTTGTGAATTCATTCTGCTGGTATGGTGTACACCAGTTTTGCACACCAGCAACATGTACACCAACATACCAGTTTGATCATTCTGTACACCAGCATACCAATTTCATCAGTCAGTACACCACCATACTAGCATACCAGTTTTGATCCTTAGGAATGATCATTCTGTACACCAGCAACAAAGTTAAATCCATTCATAGTTAAACATTAAATCCATTCTGTACACCAGCAACAAAGTTAATGCTGGTATGGTGTACACCAGTTTTGCACACCAGCAACATGTACACCAACATACCAATTTGATCATTCTGTACACCAGCATACCAATTTCATCAGTCTGTACACCACCATACTAGCATACCAGTTTTGATCCTTAGGAATGATCATTCTGTACACCAGCAACAAAGTTATTTTGATCATTCTGCTGGTATGCATTCATAAAAACATTAAATCCATTCATAGTTAAATCCATTTTGTACACCAGCAACAAAGTTAAATCCATTCATAGTTAAACATTAAATCCATTCTGTACACCAGCAACAAAGTTCCATCATTCATTCCAAAATTCCATCATTCATTACATAACAGATAAGATGTTTCCCAAAATCCATTCAATAACAGATAATAGATAACAAGTTTAAGTACATAACTTCCATTCAGTTTCCCAAAAGTACAAAAAAGTCGAAAAGTTACATCATAAAATACAAAATGATACAAAATACAATGAAGTACACCATCTTTTTGATATTATTTTCCATCCTTTGCAGCCTTTGACCATAGTCATTTTCTATGTAATGAAGCCTCATCCTTATATCGTTCAAGTCTTGTATTGTTATACCAGCAGAAGCTGTACTGTTGGAACAGATTCTGGACGTAACGTCTTCATCATCTTCATCCACGAACTTGAAGTAATTGTAATGGTGAGTGGGAGTGTTACTCTGCAATGCATGTGAATGCTTTAGTTCAATAAGACAAATATTAATGTGACTAATAAAGGAAGAAAATAGCTAGAATTACCAACTTACATATTTCGATGGGCAAACAAAGAACAAACGCCCTTCATTTCCATTCTCATTCGTTCTTACAAGATGTATGGCAGCGGTTCTTCCACAATTGCACATCCTCGGTATTAATCTTATGTTGCTAATGTTAGAAGAAGAAGCCATTTTTTAAATCTGCATACATGAGGAGAGGGACAGAGTGTAAAGGCTAATGGAAGTTGTTCTAATGGAAGTTGGTGCTAATGGACAGAGTGTGAAGGCTAATTGAAGTTGGTGCTAATGGACAGAGTGTGTGGCATTTACTAAAAAAACTGATGCATTTGACAAACTACTAAAAAAGTTCTTTTTGTGCCTGCCTTCTGTTTTTTTTTAAAAAACTGAGCATGTGTGTCATAGCTGGAGGAATCTCCCTTCCAATTTGATCCACCAACATCCTTCAATAATTAGGTATTTATTGATTTAAATAATAAGATACCATATATTAACAATGAAACTATCATGTGGACCCCTGTTGTTGGACTGAATGCAGATAAATTTCAAAACTTTTGATTTGTGATTGTAAGTTGTTTACAATTTAGCCAAGGTTGCTGCAGTGAATTAAAGTTGTATAGGTTGGGTAATGGCTTTCAATCAGCCTTAAATATTCAGATTGGTCTATAAATCAGCCCTAAATTAGCCTTATAGACATGGTCTATAAATCAGCCTTAAATATTCAAGCTCTAAATCAGCCCTAAATCAGCCTTACAGAATTCATAGCTTAGAAAAAATTCATCAGTCATACATGAACAAAGCACACAGTGTAATAATTCATCAGTCATACATGAAAAAATTCATCATCAGTCATAGATGTAAAAATCAACCGTTGGAATTGAAAAAATTGAAAAAATTGAAAGCCGTAATTTTCAGAAGAAAGCCCAAATCATCCTCAAATTGAAAAAAATTTCAGACGTTAAAAGCCCTAAATTTTCAACCGTTGGAATTGAAATTGAAAGCCCTAATTTTCAAATTCTAAAAGCCCTAATTTTTCAAAACCCAAATCCCTAATTCTGAAATTCCAATTTTTTGTAAAAGCCCTAATCCCTACTTCTGAAATTCCTAATTTTTCTAAAAGCCCTAATCCCTAATTTTTCAAAACCCAAAATTCCTAATTTTTCAAAACCCAAATCCATAATTTTTTTAAAAGCCCTAATTTTGAAACTCTAAAATCCCTAATTCTGAAAGCCCTAACTTGTCCATATCAATTCCAAACCCAAATCTCAATCTCAATCTCAGACGTTAGAAGACAAAAGATCTTTGTTCGAAGACCAACCTGGTTCGTGTTGAAGAGATCTTTGCTCAACCGATGGTGGTCGTCGCGGTGGAGTTCACGAAGCCAAGAATCACTGGAGCAGTGGAGTTCGCCGTCGGTGAGGATGGGTTCGACGGAGGAGAGTGCTGTGTGAGAGTGAGAGTGCTGTGTGAGAGTGAAAGTTAATCCCTCCCTTCGCTGTGTTGTTGTTTTGTTTGGGCGGGAACTGAAAAAAATTCATTTCTGATTTTTTTATTTTTTTTTTAATCTTAGCCGTTGGATGACCAACGGCTCATCTGAGCCGTTGCAAGCACGGAATGAAGGACCCTCTTCAAGGAGAGGATCTGGACTCAATGCAGACCTACTTCCATACAATGTCACTAGAATAGCAGCATTATTGATAAAAAAAAGTATACGGAATACCATCCGAATTCGACAGAAACAAATATGTCCAATTTCATACCGAATGCCATCTAAATTCGACCAATACATAAACAAAGATGTATAATTTTCTGGTTTTGTATCAAAGTCCCAAATGTTACTCGCTATTGTCAATAAACATGATATAGAATAGTCCAAAGGTTACCTATCAAAAATAAAAATAAAAATAAAAATAAAAATAAAAATAAAAAACTAGATAACAAAAATCAATAATTAACAAATTTAGGCCTTACGAAAGTGTAAGAGGTTCTCAGAAACAAATATTAAAAACATGAAATTGAATATGATACGATATAAAAATTAGTGTTTTGGGAATTGTGACCTTGAGCTGAGAGAGGTGTTTGGAACAAGTATCGAAATCATTCCGAATAAAAGCGGCTTTAATCTCTCGAATAGTTGCGAAACCTCTGTGAGTTTCGGATCCATCTCTCTCTCTCTCTCTCTCTCTGTGTCGCCTTGAAAGCTTCTCTTCTTTGTGTGCAAGAAAGGATTTAGAGGGAGCGCGGAGCCAGTTTGATCCAGGTAATGTTTGGATGGATTCGACTCTCTTTTCTTTTACGTTTGGGGAAATTACGCTTTCTCCCCTTAAAGTTTCACACATTTTTCATTTTAGCATTTTAAGGTTGATACATTTGGCGGCTATGCTCAATGATTAGATGGAACAAGGGCAGATTTATTAATCTATTCGGCTCATCTTCAAGCATTTTGCCGAATAAAGACAATGACCCACCTGATCCGATGAACTTTTCATCTATAAATTCAGTGGTTATACTCAGTAATCAGCTAGGGTAAAGGCAGATTTATTAATCTATTCAGCTTGTCTTCAAGTATTTTGTCGAATAAAGACAATTCCCCACCTGATCCCATGAACTTTTCGTCTATACATTCGGCGGTTATACTCAGTGATCAGCTGGGGAAAGGGCAGATTTATTAATCTATTCGGCTTTATCTTCAAGCATTTTGCCGAATAAAGACAACGCCCCACCTGATCCTATGAACTTTTCGTCCATACATTTAGCGGTTATGCCCAGTGATCAGCTGGGGCAATGGTAGATTTATTAATCTATTCGGCTTATCTTTAAGCATTTTGCCGCATAAAAACAGTGCCCCACC